CGAAGATGCTACTGTCCACCTCCTGTTTCCTTCTGTCGCCTGTTGCAACACCCACGTGGCAATATGGAGAACATACATTCCAAAAAGATTATTCATAGTATACCTAACATTGAAAAAGAGTTTAAAGTCACGTGAAAAAAAAAACAACTAAGCAAAAGTGATGTTTCAGCTCTAAGCTTCTTTTGCGAAGTTACAGCTATTTTAGTGCTCGTAACATTTTACAAGCAACCGACGTCATAAAAGATTATAAGCGTGCAGATAATATCAGAATAATAGTTCCCAGTCATGCCAATATTAATAGCTTAAAAGTAAAAGCCCGTTTTATTACCAACACTCGTGTACTTGGGCACTGCGTGACTTAATCAAATTTGATTTTGATGTGTGTGACGGAGCCATTTCTGATGGATTTTAAGAATAAATTTCCGTTTCAATAGCTTCAGTGTAGTAACACATGATTAATAACATTTTACCTCTCAATATTAAATACCTATCGAATAGCCGACGACCAAGTTCTTTCCGATCGGCTTGATCCACCAGCCTTGCGAAGAGACGTTGCATCTCCGTGCATCTTCTATGAATTCTGAGAATGAATATTATGCTTTTTTTACGCTAAGACAGTACGATTTTTATCTAGCACTTACTATCAGGTGGGATTGTAACGAAGCACTAGCTTATATTGAGTAAAAAAAAAACATATACACATACTATTTTTTATATAGAACTAGCTGATACCCGCAATTTCGTCCGTGTTGCTTGATATATTATCAAATAAAACACACATCACTGAACGCGTAGTACTCATAAAAATCGTGTTTCTTAAAATTTTAATAACTTTATATTAAACTTTATATCGCAATATTTGTTTTAGATAAGGGCCAAGTGTCTAAGAAATAAAACTTAGAAAACCTAATTGAAATCTATCCAGTATTTTTTTCCGTGATGCGCGCACAACTGCAAACCTCTATCATTTTATTTATATAGATAAGGGTGACAAACGAGCACACAATCAACCTAATGGTAAGTGGATTCTAGTGTCCATAATAATTTAAGAATATTTTTAAAATACAGGTAAATTGATGTAAATTTTTGAAGGAACGTTCCACCACTGTGCACTTTACCAGAAGTTTTCTTCCTTGAACTCCAGTGAACTTTTCGAACCGATACACTTAAGTAGAAAAAAGAGCCTACACTTATCATTCGGTGAGGTGCATGTTCGTTTGTCTCTCTTATATATAAAAGAAAAACCTTTCAAAGGCTACCTTGATTTATGTTTTGTCGTTGTCCTGTATAACTAAGTTATATACTCCTTACTTGTTGGGGCAGCTGAATTGTTCTATGATACTAAAACATGAATTTTTTTTTATAGAATTAGTGCCACTCAAAGTCATACCGCCAGTACCGTACAATCATCTCGTAGTATACTGTGAAATTTGTAGTGTACGTACGTGGTCATCGTTCACAGTCACGGCGTTCTACGTGGTCGTACCTGTTTGCCGTTAATCGGTGATAATTTTCTCAAAGAGTACACACTCAGATATGGAAACGAGACTGTTTAAAAAATGTTTATTCACCTTTGAATTTATGCACCTTTTATGACATTTTTTCTTTTTAATAGAATAAATGGTTAAATAAATCCTTTATGATGTTTCATAATATTTATATACAGGGTTATTTTTCAAAGTGTAGCTAAATTTTAAACTTAAGTTCAAATATATAAATTAAAAATGCGAGTAAATAAGGCTACTACTTTTATTGGAAATTTTATTTTTATTTCAATTCTTTTTTAGATGACTACATTTTTGTGCCATTTACTGTAAAGACTATCGGTCCGTAGTGTCCACGTGCGGTGTAGTTCCTAAAGGAACTCCATCCGCGGCTGGTCGTTGCTGCTGGTGATAAGATGGCTGGTTCTTTTCTCGCTCAAAGGCTAAGTATAGCCATTGAGCGGGGAAACGCAGACGCGTTCTTGGCACGATATCGCGGGGAGTAGGACTATATGATAATTAAGTTTCTAGTTTTAGTTTTTTTTTTATTATAGTTTTTAATATAAATACAATTGGAATTATTCCTAATTGAATGTGATTTAAGGGCAACAATGTTTTTGCCTACCAATTGATCCTTATGAATGTGTGCGTGCGCTGTAAAATCAGTTAAAATAATGAATTACCACGCATTTTGAATTTAAAAGATAAAAAGGGCAGAATTTTTGAGATTTTTCAAATTAATTTTTCTTCACGATCGGCCTATATTATTTATTCTAAACCTTCTCTGCAAATTCCGCTAATTGCAAAGTAACCATGTATATTATAATGTGTGGTACGTCTTTCAGTGATCGTGTAATTTCTGAACAACTTAAACGATTGCGCTCATATTCTCTACATAGTATAAAACAAAGTCGCTTAGTTCTTTTAAACTACGCAATTAATTTTGATATGGTTTCCATCAGTAGATAGAATAATTTACGAGAAATGTTTATATGTATAATACATGGATATTTTTTATTATATATGTGACTGAACTCCTCCTAAATGACTGGACCGATTTGAAATTATGTGTGTATGTAATTAAGTTGATTAGAGTATGATTTAAATTTACATTTGGATCCGGTACGTGGTGTTTTGTCGTGATCCAAAAATGCGATGCGAAGGCGGGACGCATTACTAATCATATTATAAATTTATTTTGACGAGACAATGGTTTATAGTTATAATCGAATCCCCACTGTAGTCAAGTTATAATTTATTTTTATTTACACACAGTGCAAAATCCGGAGTATATTCAAATTCCGATGATTAAACTATTGGTAACAACGCGGCAATAGTGTGAAGTTGCTGCGTGAAATGTTGGCCACAACACGGTAGGTGAGTGAAGTTGCTGACTCTGGGGAAGCAAGAAATAAACCGAGGAGGAACACTTTCGCTTTAACTACCGAACGCGCTAGTAGCCTCAAATCTCGTAAAGGACATAATTATTGTATAATACTTGTTCTATTAAATACTTAGTTCTATTATACGCACAACTAGTGTCTAATTGTCTACCTAAGTAAAATATAAAGTTTACAAAACGAATATAATATAGTCTACCTAATGGTTAGTGAATACTAAGATCCATTCATACAAGGCTGTTACGACGAGCGAGGGGTGGAAAGAAATAAGAAAATTAAGAAGAAATTTTTGATTTTAAGTAAAAGTAAATTCCCATATGAACTATATAACAACTATATATATAATGAGGTGATCGCTACCAAGCTATTTCTAATTTGTTTTGTGTGATTAATTGTGTAACATTCATGATTGTAAGCGTAGTTATTTAAAAAAAAAAGTCCCTCTGGGTGTCTTGCTGGTTCTTTCCAGGGCAGAGGTTTTTTTCGAACCAGTGGTAATTAAACAAAAGAGTGACTTTCAATAAGTATTATTTATAATTTACATTGAATAAAAAAATTCTGTCTCTGTTTCCGTTACACATAAAGGAACCTTTACATAGTAAAGGCTATTTGTCTATCTTCGGAACTTTATCAAGGCTCTCTTATATTCTGAGTGTTTCTTTTGTGTGCTCTGTTAGGCATTAAAATGTGTTGCGCGTCTATAATTTATTTTATCGTAACTGGTAAAAGCAGAACCTAAAAGAATACAAGTTGTTAAAATTAAAAATGTTGTACAACCGACTCCAATATAAATTATTAAGAATAACTCAAAAACTACTAAGCAAACCTTGATGACATTTATACGGGACCACATGTAAGACACCAGATTTCAAATAAAAAAGAATTCTTGAAATCGGTACAGCCTTCTTCGAGTAATCGGTGAACATATTAAAAAAATCCAACGCATTGAAAACCTCCTCTTTTTTGAAGCCGGTTGAAAAATATGATTTGAACCTTTTATCGTTTTTAAAATATTGAAATATTAATATATTTATTTAATATTAATTATACACCTTATATATCCTGTAGAGGCGGTGTAATATAATCCAATACCCTCTATAGACACGTGGTTGTCGTAAGAGATGACAGAGAAAACAAACCAAGAGAAAGAAAAAGAACTGCATTTGCCACGCAGTCAATATCCCCTGCAGGAAGCCTATGTTCAGCAGTGTAATGGTAATACACCTTATAAGGGATATGAAGGGCAGAATTAATTCCTTATGGCATTGTTCACCAGTCAAGCCTGGATATCTCCATCTTAAACTATTTACCAGCTTTTCAAACAACAACCCTCACAAGCACTTCATTTGTAACCGTGTAGTCACCGAGTGGAATAAGCTGCCAGAGAACGTAGTCTCAGTCTAAAACGTGAACGAATTAAAAAATAGATTAAATAACCACTTTCTGAACTGCAAAAAGAGTAACTAGTGGGCAAACACAGGATACAGGCATTATCAGCTGTCTCAACTGCCTGATTTTTTTTTATAGGATAGGGTGACAATCTAGCACACAGTCCACCAGATGGTAAGTGCTTGCTGTGAGCCATAGATATCTGCATTTCTATCCTATGCAGATGCGTTGTCACCCATGAAGACTAAGATGGAATGCCTCTTTTCCAGTAAAAAGGGTCTCCGGTTCTCTGCACCCACCATAGGGTACATAGCAGTGTTAAGCTGCTATTTTACGCTGGTATTTGAGAAGTAATTATTTTGTATATTTTCTTGGGATTTTATTGTCAAAGCGTAAATAACGCCCCAAAAAAGAATTACTAACTCGGTAACGGAGTAACTAACTGTTTCAATTCAGCAACAGTTTTGTAGTGTATCCTGAAATTATCGTATGATTTTATATAAAAAAAAATCAATAAATATGGGAAAAGATGTATGTAGGCAGAAAACTCAAAGCAACAGTTGTGAAAGTTCAGTTAATCTATGACACGTATGGCATACGCTCCCAAGCTCCTTTCTTTATTTCACCGACAGTGCGATCCCACGCGACGCGGCGACCGGTCGTCACGCCATGCGCGCTGCCGACACCACAATTTGACAGTGAGAAGTGACAGTTTGACAGTGCCGCCATGACAGTGACACGCGCGAGTGTTGCCCTCCTGTTACTAGGAATACTGACCCACACCAACGCTCAGAATGGGATTAGTGCATTCATATCAGGTCAGTTCGTTCGTACTTTCTCCCGCGGAGATGGGTCGGCTTTTGGGTCAAATTTTCACCTACTTGCATGTGTTAGCGGCCTTAACCGTCTCGAGTATTTAAGGTTGCACGTTTGTTGAATTGAAAATAATTTCGCTTGCTAATTTGGTGAGGAGTTCTAGTTTCGCTACTTAAGGAACTCCTATGTTTACGAGCCGTGGTGGCTCAGATGGTTAGTGCTCGCTGTAAGCTTCACAGTACTCGAGCAACCCGGATTCGATCGCCGCCGGCACCAATGAAATTTTTAATTGCAGTTTTAAGTGCTGACTTACAATATCGTGAGGAAACTTGCATGTCTGAGAAATAAGACAAAAAATATTTCGAAGACATGTGAAGTTCGCCAACACGCATTGGGACAGCGCGGTGGACATTTCCTTGCCCTAAAACCCTCTCAGAAATGAGAGGAGGCCTGTGCCCAGCAGTGGGACGTAAATAGGCTGCAACTTTACTTTTTATGTTTACGATAAGGATATTATTGATGACGTAGTTTTGGATTCACAACGGTATACATCCAAGAATTATCCAACGTAGACGCAATAGCGCCATATTAACGCACTGTTTTAAATATGATCAGTGTAATCTTGCAATAGGGTCTTGATAAAGCGACGGCATAGTTTTCTTGATTTTTAAGAAGTGCTTTGACGTGCGAGAAGTGCTTTATCCAAATTTGAAGAAAAATAAAAATTTTGACTTTGATTTATATACAATTTACTTATATAGAATGAATGGGTTGGCTTGACCGGGGTAAAACTACGCTATTACAGAATATTAGGATAAAATAGCAGCTTAATGCTGATATGTTTCGTTTGGTGAGTGTAGTGAGAGAACCGGAGTCCTTTTTACTGGAAACGAAGCTTAAGCGAGGATAAATGTAGATGTCTATGGGCCACAGCATCCACTTACCAGGTGGACTGTATGCTATATTCTAGAGTAACGCTATATTTTTTCAGCACGTTTAAAGTTTCAAATAAGCTGCACTTCTTCAACTATTACTGCGTCTCTACTTTTCTTTTGAATGAAATGTTAAAATAAGGATCAATTTTGCACAAGGAGTTCGTCACAAGGTTTTCGAATAACAGCATTACTCTGTTGTGTTTCGTATGGTGTTTGAACTGATGACCATTATTGGTGATAAGGCATTCCATCTCAATCGGCAGGCATGAAAACGCATCTGCATTTTGATTTTTATAAAGTTAGATTTAAGTGCGTATGGATGGCTATATTGTTGGTCGTGATTAAAACGCACGCGTATAATATTAGGGTGATGTTTGTTCTCATGTACTGTCATGTCCTTGCTCGGGTTCGCTATGCACCAAATAAGTCCTAAATTTAAATGTATCTTATAACATGCTTAGGTTGTCGATGGATTTATATACTATTAAACTAAACTACTACTACTAATGCAAAAAGAGGATACCTGTCGAAACCTTATTTAGAAATTTTAATAGATTTGAAAAAAATTAGATTTGACAAACGTTATTTTAATTTTTAATTCCCTCCAGAGGTCGGGTAATCCATTCTAAACGGACGTCATTACGTGTGATAAAGGATTAACCCCTTTACTCTTTGCCAACGAGCAATGGACCCGATAATATAGAAAATATCTGAATGGAAAAAAGGAATATGGAAGGAGAAAGAGCTTCTACAAGGCCCTTTGTAGACCTGGTTGCCTTCCTCCACTGGGTACGTTTCGTTTACCTCTTCGGAGAAACCGTAAGTTTTATCTGTGCGATACAGGATCAGGTAATTAAGATTAACAATTATTGGAGATACGTCCTAAGGCAAGATGGCACTGTTGACATCTGTCGAGCTTGTCGACGTCCCGGTGAGTCACTTAGGCATGTCATCTCCGGATGTTGACGCTTTCTAACTCTGAGTATCTGCTCAGGATATTCTACACCAAGAGCTTATTCTCAAGTACAGTATAGTTGATCGAAAATTGAAAATAACCGCGCCAGACCTCTTTAACTTATATCAATTTCGAATTAATTTAAAAAAAATTAAAATAAATATTTAAAAGGCTGTAACTATACGTTTATTTTGCCTTTAAAGTAAAGTCATAATAATTTATATACCCTACAGCTGGGTACAGATTATTATTTCTACGAGAAACACTACCTTGGAAAAAATATGAAGAGAAATTCAAAATTAATTACTTACTTTATTCAAAAACAGAATCATTTGCATATTATCAAATAATCTATTGAATATTTCAATAAATCCGAAAGTAAAATGATTGCATCGATTCGTTTCGATTGTCTATAACTACGAAAGTGTTTTGCCACAAATTTACTTAAGTTACAAACCCGATCGATTAACTTTCTCCATTTCATACTTGTTACCGCTTTCTGTGTAATATTTCAACACTAGTTGTATTTATATTGAAAAGACTTCAACGTACACAAATGGTGCGTCGCTTTTGTAATTTCTGTTATGTGATATGCAGCAACTTTTAAGTTAAACTTTAATGGGACTGGTACAAATATGTTTCATATTTGCCGCGGTATGACAACGGCGTAAGAGATCGTCCCATTGTATAGAGGCGACAGAGGGAAATATAGTAACAGATGGACAGCAGAATCTTTCTGATAACAATTAAAAATAATAAAATACTGTGGTTGTGCTAGCGTGGCAACTATGACTTAAGATTACGGGCTGCGAATTACCTGGTTCTTGGTTTTTTTTTTATATGATAGTGTGACAAACGAGCACACAGTCCACCTGATGGTAAGTGGTTGTTGTGGCCCATAGACATCTACATCTATTCTCGTTTGCGAATCAAAATGCAGATGCGTTGTCACCCGTGAGGACTAAAATGGAATGCCTCTTTTCCAATAAAATGGATCTCCGGTTCTCTACACTCACCATACGAAACACAGCAGTGTTAAGCTGGTATTTTTCGCTGGTATTCTGTGAGAGCGTGGTCATTCCCCGGTCGAGCCGATCCATTTGTGCTACAACTATACTACTAATATAGCTGCAGCATGGCTTTATCACGTATAATCTGATCCGGTCCGAATCCGCAATTCGTCTACTCCTTATCCACCTACCATTATGCAGACGTGTGCTTATTTGTTACCCTTACTCCTAAAAGATGTGCAACAGCAGTATAATGGACTCGTCTTTATTTCACTATCGTGTCAGTATTGAATATAGTTTATTTATTCCTTGCCTCCTCCATAGATTATCTTATAAGGAGGATTTTACTACGCTTGGAAAGTGAAGCCTTCATTATTTTGAGTCGTAATCAGAAAGAAGCTGCTGCCCATCTTCTGCCTCAGTTTCCCTCTGTCGCCTCTTACGTCACCCGTGGACGATATGGCGTAGATACTACACGGTTTTAAAAGAATTTTACTGACAATAATTAGTTTTCTTAACGAGCTAAAATTATTCACGAATAGAAAAAAATGCAAGCAAATATTATCTAAGTTATGGATCCCACCCGGATTTCCTTATGATTGGTGTTTTGTATGCAAGCGTTCTGCGACCCTGATTAACGCGCTGCTCTACTTTTGAAACTAGTCAATGAGGTCTATTATTCTGTATTCGAAACTTAATAATAACTGTATTTTTACTGGCATATCTTGATTAAAACTTTCCGGTAACTAAGTTGTGGACTGCTTAATTGTTAAGTTTTTATTAGCGTCGATTTTATGCAAAGTTTCCTTTTTCTTAAAATAGAGATATGATATGTTTCTGGGTTACTTTTGTATTTAAATGCGCTGGTAATTTGGCATTGTTAAAACTTGAATGTACAATGTTTCTCCTTTAACACAGCTCTGACTACTGTGCGATTCACCGTGCTGTGTCATGTTAGCGGTGTAAAATAATCCATTATTTTATTTTAGTCGATGTTGTAAAAGGTGAATAGTGACTAGACTAATAAATCATATATTTTTTATAGGATAAGTGTGACAAACTAGCACACAGTCCACCTGATGGTAAGTGATTGCTGCGGCCCATAGACATCTACATCTATTCTCGATTACAAATCAAAATACTGATGCGTTGTCATCCGTGAGAACTAAGATGTAAAGCCTCGTTTCCAGTAAAAGGGGTCTCCGGTTCTCTACAATCACTATACGAAACACAGCAGCATTAAGCTGCTATTTTACGCTGGTATTCTGTGAGAGCGTGGTCCTTCCCCGGTCGAGCCGACCCATTCGTGGTACAACTATACTACTAATATAGCTGCAGCATGGCTCTACCACGTAACATAGCCGATAGATAGCGGTATAACCATCTTATATATGTACCTCCTTCTGCTAACTGCCGCGTTGGTCTGGTGATCGTAAACGCGATTGCTGATCATGAAGGCTGGATTAGGTTCGAATCCCGGGTCTAGAATAGAATAGAATAGAATATTTTTTATTCAATATACATTACATGTGTAATTCTTATTGAAAGTCATTTTTAACTTTACCACTGGTTCGAAAAAAACCCTCTGTCCTGGGAAGAACCAGCAAGAAACCCAGCGGGACTTTTTTTTTTAAATAAATTTTACAATATAAATGATTACGAACTATTTACAAAATTTATTTTAGAAACTGCTTGGAAGCGATCACCTCATTCCCAGGGGTTATTATCAACCATGTATTCATTTATACTATAATAACCCTTTTTATACAATTTCAGCTTAATAAAACATTTAAACTTGGTAATAGAGAGAACCTGTACACTTTCCGGGACCTTGTTGTAATAGCGTATACATTGCCCCAAGAATGAATTACTGACTCTGTGGAGTCGAGAAACTGGTATCACTAGCTTGTGTTTGTTCCTAGTGTTTACAGAATGTATATCACTTCTTTTACTAAAACTATCTTTGTTTTTGTGAACATACATTAAATTTTCGTAAATATACTGAGAGGCCAAAGTTAATATATTAATTTCTTTAAATTTTTCTCTAAGAGACTCTCTCGCTTTTAGATTGTAAATAGCTCTAATGGCCCTCTTCTGTAAAA